CTTCAACCATTCTTCCTTCATCAACTTACACCACAGCCTTATCCTTCACTTCCCGCAATAACCTTAACCTACGCACAACCCACCTATCTGCATTCCATTCAAAATCCCATCTTTTCTCTTTCAACAATTCCCCTTCACATCCTCATGCTACTAAAACTCGCAACTCTAGAAAGCCCCGCATCTTTCTTCCTCATTTGGTGGCTTCCATGGTATTTATTTGTATTTCTTAATTCAGATAATTTTCTGTAGAATTGTTTTAGTATCTGTTTTATCTAGCTGAAGAGAGAGAAAGGAAACTAATTGTTATTTTTTGAATAATTCTGGAAATTCGTGAGAGCCCCGATCAGTGTTTGATATATTGACTAGTTATTCACGTGTTGTAGCGAAATCCCATTTGGAGTTTTTGACATTTTTATGTCCAGGAACAAGTTGATGAGACTTACATTATGGTCAAGCCTGATGGTGTTCAACGTGGCCTTGTAAGCTTTTCTTGATTTTTTTTATTTGCACTGTAATTATTGTTAAATTTTTGCAGTGATTGCTGTGGAAGTTTGAGTGATGTTAAAATTTTAGATATTAGAACCTTCGTTTTTCATTGTTTAGGATAAGATGAAAGTAGTGTTTATTGGATTGAGCCAAATGTGAAGTATTTTGTGTAAACCTGAGTATATATTGGCAATGCAATAGTTGAAATGATACTATGTTTTGATTTTGGGATTCTGAATTTATTTTATGTGGATTGGGTTGCTTTAGGTTGGAGAAATAATCTCGAGGTTTGAGAAGAAAGGATTTAAACTGACTGGTTTGAAGCTCTTCCAATGCCCTAAAGAATTGGCAGAGGTTTGTAGTCTTGCAATGTTGATACTCAATCCATTCTTTTATATGGCGAAACCTTTATCCAATATCTTGCAAATGTCAGATTTGTTTTATATCCTCTTATAATGCTTTACTTGAAGCAAACTATTAAGGTTTATGATTATGTGGTTGTAAAGCTAGTTTTTCTGTTGTTTTTTGAAAATGATGGCAGAAACAAGGAAAAAGAATAGAAATCTTGGAATCTTACAGGACAGTGGCCTTAAGTCACAGTAAAATTCCAAGCTTTCTGCTATTTTTTTGTATGGTTATTGATGATCAATCACAAAAGAACTGTATTTTATCTTCCTGTTGATAAATTCTTTTGTCAATGCTCTAGTATAGAACCCAAACTTTCTACTAATCTTTCCTTCTTTTTTTTCAATCAATCACGAAAAAAGTTTGCTTTATCAATTTCATGTCTCTGTTCTGTAATTGTGTTTTAGATGTCTATTTAGAGCCTGTTTGTTTTTGCATTTCAAAAACGCTTTTAAAAAAATAAATTTATTTTTTTCTATGCTTCAAATTAATTTTTTTGGTGTTTTTAGATCGTTTTGATATGCTGATGTCAAAAAATAAATTTAAAAAAATGAAAAAAATTATTTCGATGCATTTCAAAGTGAAAAGTATTTTGGAAAGCAATTGCTATCACAATACCAAATAGGCTCTTATTATTACTGGAGTGTGGTCTTTTCATATCCTCAAATTACTGAATGTCTTATTGTTCTTTTATCTACTATTTTGCATGATTAGGAGCACTATAAGGATCTCAAGGCCAAGCCTTTCTTCCCTGGTCTGATCGATTACATCACTTCTGGTCCAGTTGTGTGTATGGTATGAAGTTTATGAATCTGAGATTTCTACAGGTTTTGAGTTCTTTCTAGAATACTGACGATAATGGTTTTTTGCCAGGCATGGGAAGGTGTTGGGGTTGTAGCATCAGCACGTAAGCTAATAGGGTCCACAGATCCTCTTAAGGCCGAACCAGGCACAATAAGAGGAGATCTTGCTGTTCAAACAGGAAGGTTAGGCCCTTCATACTCTCCTGATAGGTTGCTTTATGTGCTCATTTTCACAAAATTGGTTTGCAATTTCTTTCCTGGTCTTAGCAATTTTTTTATCCTATGGTGAACTTTCTGCAGGAATGTGGTTCATGGCAGTGACAGCCCTGAAAATGGAAAGCGTGAAATAGGTGGGACTGCTTATGCCCTTTGTTTAGTTATGTAAATCAAGCACAAATGATTCTATTGTTAATGATTTTCCGAGTACAGATATATTCTTGTTTTCTGAATAGATAATGCAATATGTGATGAAAATGAATTCCATTCCTTAAATAGCCTCTCTTTTGTGTACAATATACTGTTTGCATGAGCCAAAAAAAGCTTTCCTTTTCTTCCATCAATGCTAGAAATTGTGCTAAGCTTCGAATGCAGTTGAGCTTTTAGACTTTTTGAATTACCTTGTGAAAGGTCCCTAGTTGAGTTTTTCACAAGTGATCAAGTCAGTCAAGGAAAATTACAGGATTCATAAAACTATAGCATGAAAATAGTATGTAGCAAGCTTTTCACAAGGACAATATACTAATAACATCAAGAGAAACACACAAATAACCCAGAATAGGTGTTTA